ATGTGTCAAATAACTCACCCTTTTAAACTATACAACTGAGTGGTTTTTAGTATATTTACAGAGTTGTGCAGCCATTGCCAATATCCAATTTCAGAAGATTTTAGTCACTCCAAAAAGAAACTCAATACCCATTAATGGTCACTCCCCATTGCTTTCCTTCCTATACTGGTTAAAATCTCCAGGATAATGTTAATCAGGGAGATTGGACAGCCTTGTCTTATTTGTGATTTTTAAGGGGAAATAGTCTTTCATCATTAAGTGTGACCCTAAATGTAGACTTATTCATAAATGTCCTTTGCCAGTTGGGAAAGTTTCCTTCTATTCCTAGTTGTTTTGAGAGTTTTGTATCATGAATGGGTGTTGGATATTATTTTTCTGCTTATGCTTTTGCCCCCTTCTATTTATTCTTCACATAACTGCCTGAATAATCCTAAAATGTTAGTCAGATCAAGTCACTATGCTACTGAAGATCATGCAGCACCTCCCATTTAGAGTGAAAGCCAGAATATCCCAGGAGGCCTAATACTATCTAGTCCATTCCCCATAGTTTACTCTTGGAACTCATCTTAAATTAATCTTCCCCCTTGATCTCTCCACTACAACCACAGTGGCATACTTCCTATTCCTTGAATATTTTTGGGAACAGAGCTTTTGCATTTGCTATTTCCACTACTTTGAATCTTCTTTCTACAGGTGTCCACAAGGCTCACTGTCATTTCCTTCAGGTGACCTACTTAGTGAGTTAGTCCCCAAACAACCTATTGAAAAGTACAATTCTTCCCCAGTACTTTGTACTTGCATCTTATTTTTCTGCCTGAGGTATAGTGTATTATGATTTGAATATTAAATTTTGTGGGGTCTCTGACCATTTTGAAAAGCCCACTAATGACTATTTTCTGTAAATTAAAACCACAATGAGATATCATCTCACACCTATCAGAACTGCTATAATCAGTAAAACAACAAACAACAAGTATTGGCTAGGATGTGGAGAAATGGAAACCCTCATGTCCTGTTGGTGGGAATGCAGATTGGTGCAGCCACTATGGAAAACAGTATGGATGGTCCTCAAAAAATTAGAAACAAAACTGCCTTATTACCCAGCAATTTCACTTCGGGGTATGTATCTGAATAAATCCAAAACGCTAATTCAAAAGAATATATGCACCCCTATGTTCATTGCAGTGTTATTTACAATAGCGAAGATATGGAAGCAACCCAAGTGCTCATAAATGGACAAGTGGATAAAAAAGTGGAGGAATATATATAATGGAATATTACTTGGCCATAAAAATGAATAAAACCTTACCATTTGCTACATCATGGGTGAACCTAGAGGATATTATGCTAAATGAAATAAGTCAGTCAGCGAAATTCAAATACTGTATGATTTCACTTATATGTGGAATCTAAAGAATAAAATAAACAAACAAAATTGAAACATTCATAGACACACAGAACAAACTGCCAGTTGCCAGATGGGAAGGGGTTTGGGGGCTGGGTGAAAAAAGGTGAGAGAATTAAGAAGTACAAATTGGTAATTACAAAATAGTCATGAGGATGTAGAGTACAGCATAGGAAATTTCATCAGTAATATTATAATAACTATGTATGTTGCCAGGTGGGTACTGAAAATATCAGGGAGAACACTTTGTAAAGTATATTATTGTCTTACCACTATGTTGTACACCTGAAACTAATACAAAATAATATTGAATGTAAACTGTAATTGAAAAATAAAATTAAAACAATAAAATGAAAATATTTTACCTGCTTTTTTTTTTTTTTAAAATATATCTTTATTGATTTCAGAGAGAGGAAAGGAGAGGGAGAGAAATAGAAACATCAATGATGAGAACATCATTGATCAAGCCCGCAACCGGGCATGTGCCCTGACCGGGAATCGAACCCCAATTGCCTGATCCTAGGTCGATGCTCAACCGCTGAGCCACGCCCGGCCGGGCTTTATCTGCTTTTTAAAAAGGACTTTTTGCTGTAGAGTAGATCTCTAGGACTTAATTTATCTTGCATAACTTAGTACTCTTTCACTAATACCTTCCCATCTCCCCCAACCTCCCAGATGCTGGAAACCACCATTCTATTTTCTGCTTCTATGAGTTTGGTTATATTATATTACACTTATAAATGAGATCATACAATATTTGTTTTTCTCTGCCTGACTTATTTGACTTAGCATAATGTCCTCTACTTTCATTCATGTTGTTGCTAATGTCAGCATTTCCTTCTCTATTAAGGCTGAATAATATTTCATTATATATATATATAGTTTCTTATCCATTTATCTGTTGAAAGACACTTATTTGCTTCTATGTCTTGGCTATTGTGAATAATGATGCAATAATCATGGGGGTGCAGGTATTTCTTTGAAATCTTGATTTCAATTCCTTTGGAGATATAGGTCCAGAAGTGGGATTACTGGATTCTATGGCAGTTCTTTTTTAAATTTATTGAGAAACTACCATACTGTTTTCCATAGTGGCTGCCCCAATTTTCAATCCCACCTACAGTGAACAAAGGTTCCCTTTTCTCCACAGCCTTACCAGTGCTTGTTGTTTGTTGATTATTTTTATGGTAGACATTCTAAAATGTGTGGTGCAATGTCTCAGTGTGGTTTCTATCTGCATTTCCCTGATGATTAATAATGTTGAACACCTTTTCATATACTTGTGGCCATTTGTATGTCCTTTTTGAAGTGATGCTTATTCAGATAGTTTTCCAATTAACAATACTATATTGTATACTTAAAATTTTCCAAAGTGGGCATATCTTATGTTAAGTGTGCTTGTCATACAAAATAATAATGATGATGTTTATTTTAAAAGGGCGTGGGGGGAAACTTTTGGAGGGGATGGAGATGTTTATGGCATGGATTGTGGTGACGAATAAACTAGCTCAAGTACAGTCAGGGTGCTTTCTGCTACATAAAAAGCTTGAAGCAGTCCTGAAATTTGTGGCAAGGTAGAAGGATGGCAAGAAAGGAAGACAATATGACACAGGAGGTTAAAGAGCTTTAGGATATGTTTAAGAATGAATGAAAAGATCACAGAATAATTTGGCTTGTGGAGTACCATGCCCTCATCAACCTCTGCTTTCTCTTCTTTGCTCTGCTTAAGAGGGAGGGGCAAGAAGTAAATGGTATGCATATATGCCTAACCCATGGACACAGACAATAGGGTGGTGAAGGTCTGGGGGAAAGGCAGATGAAGGGTGGAGGAGATCAATGAGGAAAAAGAAGGACATCTACAATACTTTCAACAATAAAGATAATTTTTTAAAAGGAACTAAATGGAAAGGAAGATAGAAAAGTTATTGTAAATCAGTTCTGCTCCTAATCAGAAATCAGTGCCTTTTGCATTTTGTTTTAGTAATCTATTTGTCAGGGTCTTATTTTCCATGTCCCCAGTACTGCTGGGTAGATGTAAAGTAATTTCCCCTTGGAATTACTCATAAGAGGCAGTATCTTAAAAATACTAATATAAGTGGAGAGAAGAAACACAATTTTCCTTATTAAACTCATGGTATGTTTTTAGTATCCAACACAAGAAGCAGGTTTCTCAGTGAAATATATTTCTCTTGTGTCAAACTCTTTGAGTCATAAAACCCCCTTTATGCCTTAAGAATAGAGTGAATTGATGAGATATTGTAGGCTAACTTGAGAATGGAGATTTTCTCCAGGATACATGGGAAATTTTGTAAATATCTAAGGGATTAGTTAGAGCTTCAAGGACACTGGCTATCTAGCTCCAAACTTTATTGCTTAAATAGGGAAACTGAAAATAAAAGATGGGTAAGTATTTACTGAAGGGCACACACTTGATTTTTGCCTACCAGCTTAGTTCGGGGTCTTGCTAATACACACCTGAGCATGTTTGATTTAGTCAGCCTGCTTTGAGCAATATCTAGTGTTGCTGCTCTGATTATTTGTGAGGTGTCACATATTCACCTGGTCTAACAATTAGCTAGGATTGGAGATGCTTACCAGATTGGCAATTTACAACCCTAAGAACATGGCAGGGATTGAATCCAATATAAGTAGGATCAATGCAAGTTACCTCTAAAAAGCTCATCAAAACTGGGCCACAAAGAACTGAATTTTTGCTATGTGGATCTCATTTCCACATAGGAGGCCAAGGAAATTTGAGGTTCAAGATTTTTTAAAGAAATCAGAGAGGAAATTTTGGAATAGATTATTTGGACATACTAATGCAGGAGAATGAGTATGGGACATGGCAAATCATACCACATCCTGATTTCCATTGAGGATTCTATACACAGTCTCTCTCATATGTTGTCTCTGTTAAGAAAGCATGAGCTCTTCAGACTTGACCTCTGAGGTTTTTGTTGTTTTCCACTACCTTTGTATTTTTCTGGCCAGTTGCTCTCTCTCTCTCTCTCCCCCCCTCTTTCACCCTCTCTCTCTCTCTCTCTGTGTGTATGTGTGTGTATCTGTTTTCCAAGAGTCATCTCCTTTAGCAAAGCTATTGTAGCTGTGAGTAGCAGAGCCATCTTTTGTGTCTGTTCATTATCAAGATAATCTTTCTACACATCTCTCCTCTCCAGTGCAATTTTTAAATTGGTTAACTTACATTGTATACTACTGAAGAGAATTATTTTAGAAATTATTAAACTGCTATCAGCAGTAAATGAGTCAGGACCTGCTGTTTTAAGGTTTCTTTGGATGGGGGTAGTAGCTAAGAGAGGTTGGCTAAGACAGATAAGTTATATTTGTTTTTCTAATGGTGGTAAGGTGGAATTAAGATCTGATAAAAAAAATCTAAATATTGAATGCTGCTTTGAGAGGCTAGCTAGTTCATTTGCTCCATCCTTTGTGTTCATAAAGACGTGAACCTCAGTGAACCTAAACAAACAAAATCTTGTTATTCTTAGGAGCACTCTATTGCTAATAAATGGGAACTCAGCTTTATGTTTAATACCATTCATTTTAGCTTGACTTCATTTTCTGTTCTCCTTACTTTTAGGTTAACAATTCATGCTGAGTGTCCCATGCATTTGGAAGATTTTCCCATGGATGTGCATGCCTGCCCACTGAAGTTTGGAAGCTGTATGTATTTTCACGCTTTTTGTTTGCCTGAGCTTTTTTCAAAATAAATTTAATATTTACTCTT